TTTTACAAAATCTAAATTATTTGTTAATAAAGACACAATATATTATTAGCGGAGTTAAATGCTCAAACATGTTTAGAAACAACTATACGACCATTGGAAATATCACATTTCTTCAAATTGATTTTTCAACTTGAGGTTATATTCGTTAATTCCGTATTATATTTTTTAACTTGTTATGAATAAAGTTTACGACTGACACATATTCGAGTACACGAAGTACAGCATCACTGTTTGCATTGAAGTTTCTTAATATATTAAAATAAACTAGAGTAACTATTTCCATCGTGTGCTACGTATTTAACACATTTATTTAAGCACATATTTGATTTAGACTAGGCATCTAAAGTAGTTTATTGAAAACATTTGCTTTTTTATGGTGATTTAATTTAGTTACAAAATTTATATTTTTCAAAGCATTTTATTTATTATCAGTTTTACATCATTTTATTTTGACTTTACATCAATTTAAAAATCGTCATCGATAAAAAAAATTAAAAAAAGTTTATTCTATAAATGCTAAATTTTACGTCGCTTACATTTTAATATTGTAAATACTAGAATGGAAAATAAACGTATGTAGTGTAAATTATCGGACGAATGTTTCAAAACGAACTGTTACATGAAATTTTCACACAAGGAGATAAGTTAATTTTATTACTTGTTTTTACTTTGAAACTTTAACTATTCAAATAATTCATTTCAAAGCATAAATTTTTCTCTACTTATATACTTATCATCAAACAAAAAATATTCAGATTTATTACAAACATGATTTAAAATTATAAATAAAAAATCTCAAGAAACTGAAGTTGTAAGATATTACTTGATTGAAACACTTCATTCACTTCAAAGGTATATAAATTGGAGATAACAGCCGACATGTTTCAAGCACTCAAAAATAAGCACCCATTTTGAAAATTAAGCACCCACTTGTCTGTCTTGAAGGAGAAGAAATTTTGTATTTTTCAATCAAATCTTCTCATTCACGTCTGATAAAGAGTGCCTTTTTTTGAGCCCTTGAAACATGTCGGCTGCTATTTCCAATTTATATATTTTTAAAGAGCATGAAGTTTTTTAGTCAAGTGAAATTTATAATGCCTTACATTTTCTATATAATCGGAACTTTTAGGCAATAGTATTTACTAGCGTAATACATTAATTAGGAGTTTTAAATATATTTCGATTCTCCAATTTAAAATTGTGAAAAAAATTTATGACAAGTTTTCGTTGAGTGCAAGTTTTGACCAAAAATTACCTTTCATAGGAACACGATATTTAAAGATTATATGAGCTTGTATAATTTTGTTTGTTATTACTCTGAGACCGTGACAAATCTATATTAGTTCTTATGAAAAAGTTGCTTTTTGTTCAGTTATATACTTTTCACGAAATGCAATGCCAATAACTTTCGTTAGCATTGGTTAATTTGCAAGAGATAGCTGGATAAATATAAAAGAATTTAATTCAATTATTGTAGTTTGGGGAAAAGATACATGATTATTGTTTTTATGTTGATCAAAAGCTTCTATATCATGAAATATCTTGCTTTGTAACAATCAATAAAATCGAGATGCTTTATCGAATTAAAATGTTATGAAAGGCATTGATTTTTTTATTAATAATTTTTATCCGTATTCAAAATAATTATTTTTCAGGATAAAAAGAGAGATGTTTTATAAATAAGAAATCTATTTGCATGCTTAAAGTTTTCTAAATCAAAATCTCAACAGCTAAATGTGCGCAATTCTAGTTTTATCGGTGTTGTTTAGACTGTGTCCAAAATGTGTTCCGCCGAACCCTAGTGTTCCGCAAAAGAACTACAGTGTTTCAAAAAGTGTATTTCGCTAATTATGATTTCTGGAACCTATAATTATATTTATATCCCGTCACTAACCAATTATATATTTGATATTTTGAATATTTACATAAAAATTATTTATTTAAAATGCTTGGGAAGAACTAAAAAAACTAACTAAACGAAGCACCCTGAGCAGCTTTCGATCTAATTATCAGATTAATGATCAGATTTTCATGTACTAGAACTCAACAATAATGGTTCAAGGAGGTGACCTCAAATAAGCTTATTAGTCCGAGCAAAGGATATTTTAAGTTGTGAAATCAAGCACAAAAACGTACTTTCTCCAAATTAACAAATACACCATTACGACAATTATGATTTCTGATACCTAAAATCCGGTAAACCGATGGATGTAAATCTAAGTTGTAAATATATATATATATATTTATTAAAATTTTAAATTATTTTATTAATTCTAATTTTAATCTAATTCATACACCTAATTTAACTATTGAATTCAAAATACGAGATAGTTACATTAGTTCAAAGATATACACATTATAGAAGAAATATGCAAAACCATTCGACAGTTAATCTCGCATATTTTTTTGCTTTTCTTTTTTTTCCAATCATACGAGTATGTCACTGCACTGTATCTCTACATCATGGTACGCTGTTATTATAAGTAACTTAAATAAAAATGACAAAATGTTTTATTCAGCCGTGGTAACTCTGGGGAGAGAGCGCTCGCCTCCTAATGAGGTACCCGGGTTCGAATCCCAGCGATGACTGGTCGATACAAGTTCCGCACCAGGCTCGCTCCGACCATTGTGCTAACATGAAATATCCTTAGTGGTAGACGGATCAGGGGTTGGAATTCTTTTACGCTCAGGTTAATAGTTCGAGGCTTTCGTGGTTTTCTTCTCAATGTAATGCAAATGCGTGTTAGTTCCGTCAAAAAGTTTCTTCACGAAGTCAAATTTTTCGCAATACTTGATCCAAGAGTTCCCTTGTCTTCTAGATAGGGTTCAAAATTACAAGGCTACAGAGTTAAACATTGGTAGTTTTAAACTAAAAAACATTGAGTCGGTTGTTTAACGACGGTTATAAAAATATGTTTCATAAAAATGGCAAATAAGGTTTTCATCATTTTTTTCGATAATGCAAATACGAGTTAGTTCCATCAAAAAGCCCTCCACGAAAGTTAGTTTGTCCCAATGTTAGATCCAGAACTTCTCTTGCCTCCTGAATTGAGTTTAAAATTACAAGACTACGGAATGGAGCATTGGTAGTCGTAAATCCTACATGGGGTTGGCTGTTTAGCGATGGTTATAAAATAAAATGAATCTTCGTATTTGCTTCCTAAAAATTTGGGGGTAAACTCAGAATTGAGACAGCTGTTTAACGTCAGTAAATAAATATCAATAAAAACAGTAAATAACAGTAGAAAAATAATAAGTAAATTGTAAATAAAAAACATCGACCAAACATATATCGACAGATTTATTGATATGATAAAAAAAATAGACAAACGTTCAACCATATGCATGTACATTAAAAAAAAAAAAAAAAGCTCGTTGAAGGGAGTAATTTACCACAGAAAAACCGCAATGACCTCGCAAATAAATTTTCAATCAATTCATTAATTTTTACTTCGATTTAAACTACGTAGTTTTAAACGGTAATATCTAAACATTTTCATGAATTGATCAGAATCATGGTGGCTCAGGGAATAAAACATTCGCCTCTAAATGAGGTGACCCAGATTCAAATCTTAACGGTGGCTCGTTGATACAAATTATACTCCCTACTCGCAACGATCTCAGTGTTGACGTAGAATACCTTCAGGGGTTGACGGATCATGGGTTAGAATCCCCTTGCCGTCAGGCTAACAGTAGGAGGTTTTCATGGTTTTCCTCTCCATGTAACACAAATACGGGTTGTTTCTATCAAAAAGTTCACCACGAAGGCTAGTTTGTCCTAATGAGTCCCAAGAGTTCACTTGTGTCTTAGAGTAGGTTTAGAATTACAAGTCTACGAAATCGAACATTGATAGTCTTAAACTCAGAATTGAGTCAGCTGTTCAACGCCAGTTATAATATAAAAAGCGTCGACCCAAAATATATCGTCCGATTTAGTGATATTATTTTAAAAAAATAAACTTTCAATCTTCAAAATCCTTAATTTTTCTAGATTTAAACGGATTTTCATATTGCTAAAGATTAGAAGACCTTAATTTTGGGATTGTTTTCTTCACAAATCACTACTTTTTTTGCAGAATTATTATATTCAGAGCAGTCACGAGACTTTGTGAAACCCCCAGGAAGAGTATTTTAAAGGAAAATTAAGTATTATTCTTTTTTCACGGTTCCAAAGAGAATAGCTCATTAAAGTTCCATGCAGAATTGTATCATAACGTTGTATTTATGGCATCCATATGAAGAAAGAGTATAATTTGCACATTGAAAGAATAACGCAAAGCAACCTAAATCGAGCACAAATTTACAATATTCGTTGCTATTATTTTTGCTTTATTCACGATGCTTAATTTTGTTCTAAATTATAGCTTTCAAAATAACGCATCTATGTAAAAATTAACAGTAATATTAAACTTTCTATTTAGATGTTTAAAAACATAAATAAAAGCATACGTCTATCTCACTGCGTGACATAGTAGCAATATGTTAAAATATAATAACTTTATCAACTTAATTTAATAAAAAGTTAACCATTTTTTATGTCATTATTATAATATTACTTTCTTTATGATAGAATTACTGTCATTATTATAGTATATAGTCACTATTATAATATTATTTATAGAATTATTATAGTATTATTTTTACGTCATTATGGTATTAAAATGTAAAGTATTTTTGGTGAAAACAAAGCTACAAAATATAAACTTAAATTTGATGTTTTAAATCAAAAAGCATTGTATGTAAAAGATTTGCTTTAAAACTCGTTTACCGATCTAGTTGGGGCAAATATGAGCAGCAATCTACTTGCCTATCCTGTTCACTCTTAACATCGATACTTAGTAATTAAAGTTTGTATTTTTATCTAGGAAAACAACTAGTAATCTAAAGTAAATTCAAATTGTATAGTTGAAATTTAGAAATATTATAGGAAATCACAAACAGTTTAAAGCTATTTTCCATAAACAAACACTTGCGTAAAATATTACAAACTTATTACTTACCTATCTAAACTCATAGCCAATATGGTAAAAACAGATGTGGATACAGTCAGACTAGCAAGAAAATTACTGATGATGCAGAAAGTTCCTCCGAACGGCCAATGGCTATTCAACATAAAAACAAAATTGAACGTGGCATTTCCACTCGCCAACAAAAAATCAGCAATCGCCAAGTTCAACAGGAAGAAATTAGTAACAGTTCTCATTCTCCTGTGTGCCATGATTATCCACATGACTATCACATTTCCAACAATTGCCACAATTATCATAATCGCAAAAACCATAGTCCACAAAAATTGTTGATACCAAGGAAGAATGTAGGGTTGGTTGAAAATACTACTTGGAATCGTATTGTTGAAGCACCTTAAATATATTTCCGAATAATTCAAAGCGGAATATTCCGGGTCAACTTCCATTTCATGCATAGTGGTCAGATTTTCACTTAACAGAGCATTGTATATTTCCTTGCAACCAGATGCGTTGGAATATAAGATCTCTTCTGTTGTAGAATCCATGTAGGCTTCTAAGAGATCGATTTCTTTCGGTTGAAGATTTCCCATTTCAATTCATAAACCAAGTAGTAATGACTTATTTTTTAGGTAATCATTAGTTTGAGAAATTATTTTTTTTGAAACTATGCTGGCTGTGTAAAATTATACAAAAAAAATTGAATGTAAGAGATCATCCAGATGCTTTTGAGAATGAAAAAACAGGTATTGTAAAAAAAATATCATTCTTTGAACGAAGAAGCGGTTTCAGCTGTTTTTTAAAAGTCATTAATAATGATAAATAAGACTGCTATTAACCACAAATTATGGAAAATAATAAATAATAAAAAATAGGATTCTAGTTTTAGATGTAATTCAACTTAAATGGATATACTCTCTTTAAAATATTTATATAAATAACATTATATGTTAATAGGTAATTAATAAATTTGAAATGCGCTCGAATAAAAACTTAATCACTGTAGTTTCTGAAAATGTCAATAATGTAATCCAAAACTTTTTGCGTTTTTGATTTCTTCAGAACTTAGTCTTCAGATAAGCTTATTCAAAAGAAGTTAATCAAAATCAGCTGAAACAAATAAAGTTATGATGATATTCAGCATAAATGACTTCTGATTACACGAACAGCGAACGATGATCATTATCTGAATTGGAGACCAGAAGTAACGTTTACTGTATTCAAGATTCCAACGTAAAGTGGGAAATAGTGAAGTCTGTTGCTTTTCGCTTCCTTGGCTATTCCACTTGTCAGTTTCAACCCCACTTCTACTATTTGTCCGTAAACGAGGTTTATTATTTCAGTCTCTTTTGCGTGCAATATTCATTTTTTTTTCGAAGTGTAGAAGTTATTTTATGGAAGCAGAAATAAAATATTTTATTTCTTCAAAGCAATAAATAGCCACTTAATTTTAAACATATTTATTGTAAGAGTTTTGTGTTTAGTGTGTGAAGCGGCAAGTTAAAAATGAAGATAATTTTCAAAAGAGTTTTTTTTACACGATTTTTTTTTTATTTTAACCATTTTTTTTAAATAATGTAATTTTTATGATTCATGTTAAAGTCATAAAGATATTACGATTATATTAATTTATTGCTTTATTTGCTAATTTTTATAATTCGTATTTTTTTGAAAAAATATTAAATGATCATTAGTTTTTTTTCGGGGGGGGGGGGTTTTTTTTNGGGGGGGGGGGGATTTTCTTTACCCATGACTTCCGAACAATGTTTTTTGCGAAACGAAATGAGTTTGTGAAATGCTAATCATCCCTGTCGGTGGATTATTAAAAATTTCGGCTCTTTGTGAACCAACAATGTCATTTTACAATGCATCAGACTTAGAGGAAAGGTTTGTAATATTTTCTACACCTGACATTTTTTAGACTTATTGAAGTAAGTCTACGTATCGAATAAATAATGTGTCATCCCGTTTGAAATTAGTCTAGATTTAAGTTAGTTCATTATTAAAGCAACAATTGCAAATAGCTTTATAAAAGGCTAATTGCCACAGTTCTGCACATTATTTCCTAGCGTAATAAGCTAATTAAAGAAACTTTAGGATATTTTAATTCATTTTATAACCGTCATTGAACATCCGAGTCAATTTTTTTGGTTTGTGCCTATTAATGTTTAACAACGTAGCCTTGTAATTTTGAACCCAATCTTAAAAACAAGGGAACTCTTGGGTCAAGTATTGGAAGAAATTTGCCTTCGTGTAGGACTTTTTGATAGAAGTTACCCGCATTTGCGTTACATGGTGAGGAAAATCACGAAAATCTGTCTTGGTTAGACTGACGGCAAAGGGACTCTAACCCATGATCCGTCTACCACTGAGGATACTTTACGTCAGCACTGTGGTCGGTGCACCGGATGCGGGATTCGTATAGACACATCACCGCTAGGATTCGAACCCGGTTCACCTCATTCAAAGGTGAACGCCCTATCCCCTGAGTGAACAGTCTATTCTTAAATTCTGAGAATGAGAGTTACATGGCCCTCTAAATCTCCTGATATAACGCAACTAAATTACAGGATTACCTGAAAAGTAACGCCGATCCCACAAAATCAGTATTTTTACATAAACGTTTTATGTCAGCACTGTGGTCGGTGTGAGCTGGGTACGGAATTTGTATGTATCCACCAGCCATCGCTGGGATACGAACCCGACTCACCTAATGAAAAGTCGGACGCTCTATCCCCTGTGTCACCACGACTCAACTTAAAGATATTGTAAATTTCAACGTAAATTTAAAAACCCGATCGTTATTGAGAACCTAAGTTGCTAACGCTACGTTATTGAGATCGTTTTTCAAATTGATCCTAATTTTCAGTAATTTTTGAAGCTTATTTGAAATAATGAAAAATAATTTCCAAACGGTAGCAGACCAGTTTTTTTAATCTTATTATCAATTGTCTTTCAGTTTTTAAATAATGAAATAAAATTTTAAATAATTTAGTAACCCTTCTCTATTTAAAGCACCGGCATTACAGAAGTTTCATTTCACGAAATCTTAGCAAATTCAACCTGGCTGAGTCTCCGCACATTTTCTAGCTTACCGAAAAATTAGCTGATTATTATGAGCTTGAATATTTGAACTTTTTTTAAATTTAATCTGATGTAATCTAAAGTAATTGAATCTGATAAGAAAAAAATTTTTTTTTAATTAATGCATTTGCAGAATACAGTTTGCAAAAGACGGATTTTTTCAGTTAACCCACGATGCATCGATGTTATATTTCTGTAAGAAAGGAAAAGATTATAGTAAACGTTTAGAATTTATTTACATTTTGTCCTTCAATAAAATTACATAATTTAAAGAGATTTTTTTTTAATATTGCATCCCTATTGTACCATATTCTATAATGCATCCATTATATCCCTGACAAGTACGATACTGCAATAGAGAATTAACACTGTACAAGTTTGAACGTCTTTTCTGTAGTCTCTGAGGACCGTTCCCTCTATAAATTGCTCAAAAAGAGGCGCCCATTTTCAAGACTTGAGAAAAAAGTGATTTTATGAATGAAACGTAAGGATTCGAACGAAAAATGAAAAAGTAAAGGGGCGAAACGAAACTGAAAAAAAACCGCAACAGCAGAGAAAGAGTTCAAAAAAGAGCTTGGAAATGCATTTTACCTTGATTTAACCCTTGCAGCCACTGTGGTTTACCTTGTTCTGTTTTTCATCTCACGCTCTGTGTTTCTCCTTGTTCTATGTTTTTAATGTTTTGCTTCTCACCTTTATTTTTCCATCTTTCGTTGGCAACTTTACATTTCATATTGTCAAATCACTTTTATTTCCTCTCGCTCACATCTGTAAATTCTTGAAAATGAGCTCATGTTTTCAAATAAATAAGTACAATTAAAAATCACATTGAAAATTAAATTGAAAAATGAGTGCTTGAAACAGCTCGACTGTTATTTCCAATATGTATATCTTTGAAACGAATTGAAGTTTTCAATCAAGTAAATTTTCTATAAAAAATTTTATTCTACGAAGTACTTGGTTACTGATTCGATAATTCGACTCACTGAATTTATTCGGTGATTCGAATCACCATCTTGCAACTGACTCGAATCAGGATTGATAGAACCAGTTGATTTTATTGTAGTAGATTTAAATTATAATCGATTAATGTTTCACCATTTCAGTTTTTTTTCACAGTGACGCTATGTCATTATATAGTTAAAAATTTCTTGTAAGACCTTAGAGATTCTTACACATTCATTATTAAGATCTTAAGATTTTTCCATCAAATAATTCGATGAATTCAGATAAAATGTAAACAAAAAACAGCAATGCATTTCTTTTTTGTAGTTTCTTAGAAATTACCATAGTTAAAAGTACTTATAACATCTAACAACGTATACAATATAATTATACGAAAAATAAGTGAATTTACTTGAAAGAACTCATTAATAAAAAAAATTATCTATTTTGTTCTTTTCTATTGACTTCTAGTAAAAGGAAAAAGAGTACTATGTAAGTCAACTGTACTTAGAATCAAAGCTGAAAAGTGTTTTGAAACATTTTATGCAAATCACGTGAATCGCAGTTGAGTCGTTAAGTCATGTTATTCGAATTTGTGATCCAAATTTCTCGATTCGAATTGAGATCATTTGATGATTCGAATCATTTAATTCGAAACATTAATCTGAATCACTTGATTTAAATCACTGGTCAGAATTACTTGATCTGAATCAAATGATTTAAATCAGTGATCCGTATCACCTGAATTGAATAGTGATTGGAGGAATCACTTAAAATGAATCATTGATCCAAATGCTTATATTCCAATTACTGATCTGAACTCTTTGATTCGAATAGTGATCCATACCGCATATTCAAATCAGTGACTCGAAACACTTCATACAAATAAGTTATACATATCACTTCATAGGAATCAGTGAAGAAAAACGAATAATTCAAATCAGTGATTCGAATCGCTTGATTCGAATCAGTGGCCTGAATCACTTGACTCGAATAGTGATTAGAATCACATGATTTGAATCACTTGATTCAAATAGTAATTTAAAATATCTGAATCACTTGATTCTAATATTGATTTGATTCACTTGATTCAAATAGTAATTCAAAAGATCTGAATAACTTGATTCTAATATTGATTTGAATCACTGATGTCAATCATTTGATTCACATCATTGATCCGAATCGCAAGATTCGAATCATTAGTCTGAATCACTTGATTCGAATAGTGTTCCAAATCGCTATTCGAATCAAGTCGAACTATTCGAAGTCTATCGAACTATTCGATGATTGGAATCTTTGATCTGAATCACTTGATTTGAATACTGATCCGAGTTACATTGTTTGAATCAGTGATTTCAATCACTCATTTCAAATAATGGTCAGAAACGCATAATTCGAATCACGATCTGAATTACTTGATTCGAATAGTGATCCTAATCGCTATTAGAATCAAGTCGAACTATTCGAAGTCTATCGAACTATTCGATGATTCGAATCTTTGATCTGAATCACCTGATTTGAATATTGACCCGAGTTACATTGTTTGAATCGGTGATCTGAATCACTTTATAAGAATCAGTGATTTCAATCACTCATTTCGAATAATGGTCAGAAACGCATAATTCGAATCACGATCTGAATCACTTGATTCGAATAGTGATCCAAATCGCATATTCGATTCAGTAATCTGAATCACTTCGTAAGACTCAATGATCCGAATCGCACGATTTTCATGAGAGCTAGGAGGCTGGAAAAAGAGGAACATCGCTTGTTCACGATAAAAAGGAGTGACAATTATATACTAAGGAGTGGCAATTATATAATTTTTTTAGTACCTATATACTAATAGGTCGAAAAACCACACTTTCCCCTGAGGAGAAAAAATATTCCCCCAATTTATTTTTCTAAAAGATTTGCGGCTGCTTTAGCTCTTGAGCAATACTCGTGTATTCTAGTGTTGATTTTATTATTTCAATGTTGTTTTATTTGAGGGTTTTTTACACAAAAAGGTAGTATTTTTTTACAACTATGAATTTTCAACTCCGTAGCCTAGTAGTTTTGAACTAACTCCAGAAGATAAGGAAACTCCTAGATCAACTATTGAGAGAAATTTGCCATCATGCATGAGTTTAGGATGAAACTAACCCACTTTTGCACATGCTTAACTAATTGTAGTGATATTAAAATAATGTATTTATATAGGTACTAAAGCAAGAAGTTTCTTTTCGAGGT